ATTGGGTATTCTGTCTCAGCAAAGCAAAAAGTAACTAACACAGGCTGTTGATGATCTGTAGCATGGGGAATGGCAAGGAGTGCTCTCAGCAGGTCCAGCTGTTACAAACTTAGGAATGAGAGAATTCAACAGCTGGATGTGACTTTTCCTCTCTTAACTGAATGACCATGGTCCTGTGGGCCATCATCTCAATGAATGTTGACACTGAGAACTGATGACTCAGACAAATACCAGAGTCAGAATGTGAAACAAATACCCCACCCCTTCCACATGAAAACACAAACATGCTTAACATCTCAGCCATTAAGCAAATGCAAACTATGACCACAGTGAGGGTCTCCTTCACTCCTTCTACAGCACCTATCATCAATACAATTTCAGGTAGTAAGTGTTGGTAAGGAAGCAGAGAAACTAGAAACCTCACACATGGTGCAGCCTCTGGGTGAAATACTTTGGCATTTCCTCCAAATGTAGAATATAGACTTAGTATACTACTCAACCTTTCCATTCCTAAGTAGATACAGAAAAGAACAGAAGATATATATTCAAACAAAAATGAACATGTTCATTATCTCTGACAAGGTCCTAGCAATGGAAAACAGTCCCACAACAAGTTTCCAAAAAGAAAACTGGATCCAAATGGAAAAGAGAATTCTTCTCCTAAGTGAGACAAGTGGTGAAACTAAAGTTGGATCATGGACTGGACATTCATACCAAAACCCTTTTACCTCCTTACATGGGTGCTCTGTGGTGGTTACCTGGGTTTGCCTCTACTGTGGGTAAAATACACTGCCATTTTCATGCAGATTTGCAAATTAGGAAAGGTAATAACCACTGGAGAAGGTGAGTGGATAAATCATGGTGTACTCATAACATGATTGCGGATGTCCTATAAGTTTGACATCATTGGGAAATAAAATATTTTTTCTATGATCATTATTATTCCAAAAAAGAAACATCAAATGGGCTGGGGATTTAGCTTAGTGGTTTCACCGCCTGCTGCGCAAGTGCAAGGACCCAAGTTTGATCCCTGCTACCAAAAAAAAAAAGAAACATCAAACATCACTATAGCAAGTAAGTGTACTAGTGAGCTTTCTCACTGTGAAGAAACAACTTCTGACACCCACAACATAAAGAAGGGGAGGTTCAATTTGTCTCATATTTGTGGAGGATTCAGTCCATGGTTGGCTGCCCCAAGGACCCAACATCATGGAGGAAGTGTGTGGCAGAGAAAAGCTGCTTACCTCATGGTAGCAAAGAAGCAGAGCATGGGAACAGTGCCAAAGATGTTGGGGTGAGGATGACATAGAGACATCAAAGTCATACCTTCATGACCCACAGAGACAAAGAAATGTGTTCCACCAAGCCTCTAGGTAGATCTTAAAGCCAATCAAGGTGTCACTCGATCCTTACCTGTCACACTAACCCTACCAAAATGCAGCCCAGCCAGGGCTATAAAGCCATTGTCCTTCTGTGTGGAAATTACATTAAAATGAGGAGGACAATGAATGACAATAATACGAAACACCAATGTGTGCACATTTTGTTAGGGTTAGATGCCACTCTCTTAGGTACTTTTCTCATTACTGAGACAAAATACTCAACACCCAAAGTTTAAAAAAAAAAAGGTTTATTTCAGCTCCCAGTTTGTAGAGGTTTCAGTCAAAAGTCAGTTGGTTACGAGGCAGGGTAGCATGGCAGAGAGGCAATGCAGAGGAGAAGTAGTTCAAAGCATAGCAAGAATAAGGCAGCAAGCAGCAAGCCTGCCTTTCCTTTTTATCCCTTCCACACTACCCACTTTGTGGGTGGTGCCACCCACACCCAGGGTAGAGCTTCTGTCTTCAGTAAATCCATCATGGGTTAGGGTTAAATATAAATTTGATTAGCTAATGTAGGGACAATTTACATTAGCAGTTGAGGACACCTTTGTTATATCTTTTAAAACTTTTCTTTTTTCTTTTGAGACAGGGTCTCACTATGTAGCCCAGGGTGGCCTTGAAATCTTCCTGTCTCATCCTCCTGCATGCTGGGATTACAGGAATGCATCACCATACTTTACCTTTTAAAATTAGTATTAGGCACCACTGTGCACATATTACTATTAGGGGTCCACTGTTAGTAGCACAGGGCCCTCTGTTGCTTTGATACTAGTACCAGAGGCCACTCTGTGGATAGTACTTTAGCACTGCAGGCCACAGTGGACAAAACTCGTCACTTACTCCAGGCCACAGTGTGGACATTATCTTAGGGATGTCCAGTGGAAACAGTCATCACTGTGAACGACAACTTCTGCATGAAGCCCTTCCTCTGCTGAGTTCTCTGGAGACCCATCCCTCCACCCTGCACACAGGCCACAGACAAGAATCTTTGCACTCATGGTTGCACAAGAGACACAGACGCTACTGTTCCCATGCTTGAACCCTGCCTCCTTAGTCCCACCCCAGTGTGAAGATAAGTCAGCCTCAAGGCCATATGAGCCCAACAGGGTGGAGACCATCAAGGCAGGCACAGTGCAGAAGCTGGTGAATCACCTTGTGCCTGACCATGGAAGTGGCAACCCTCTTCTTCATGCCCACATTCCTGTACACCTACCCCTACAAGCTCACCATTACCCAATAGGTGCTAAAACTGCTGTTCCTAAGGTGTGCTCCACATCCAAGCCCAGGGGGACTTGCTACCTCCTGGCAGACCCTTGGAATGCTCTGCACCTTTCTGTGTCCCAATTTGCTCTGTGAAAGCTGGGGTGATCTGAGGATCACCATCTGAGCATGTATTTGGGACCAAGAGGGCTGAGAGTTAGAAGCACCTGCTCCAGGCCAGGGTCTGTCAGGGTCAGTGACCCAGGGCTCTGGAACCTCCCCTCCTCCATGAAGAAGCTCTTTGCACCTCACTTAACTGAGTCCTCAGGCAATCCAATTTCCCCATTTTTGAATGAATCCCAACTCTGGAGTTCCCTACCTAAATATAGAGTGGGGACTCCCCATCAGAGTGGAATGAGAGGCCCTGGTCCCACTGAGATATCTAGGTAGGAGACAGATGGCAGGATTAATTTATAGCACATGTATATGAAGCACCTATCATGTGCAGGCATGGTTCCAGTCACTTGGCACCTAATTTAGGGAGAAACACAGGCAAAGCTCTCAGCCTTTTCCTGCTTCCATTCTCATCAGAGAAGAAGACAGTCCCCCTAGACTGCCTGGCAGGTGGGGGCTACAAGAGGATGTGGAGGCCACCCTCTCCTGACCTCTATGTCTGAATTCCTTCACCCCGACTGTGAGGAGTGTGAGTACATCAAGAAGTGAGTGGGCTTAGAGCCAAGACAGAAGAAGGCTTCTGTCTCCAGAGTAGGGGACATTTGAGGAACTGAGTTCAGGGGGGCTGGGAAATGCCAGATCCCAACATGTTCTTGATTGCTAGTAGAGGGATGGGGGCTAGGGCTTTGCCTTCATGAGGAGGAAGACAGGCAACAGGCAGCACAGGGGCTTCTGGGGGCTATGAAGAGCAGGTCCCTGTGAAGATAGACTCTCCACCACAGACCATCCCAGTCAGACATGCCCTCATGATTCTGTATGAAGTCTGTAGAGAAGCAGTGAGAAGCACACTGCTCACATGAGCCTCCTATATTTGTGCAGTGCCCAGATGCATGTGGGGTGTTCACTACCCTGAAGAATTCTGCCCATCCCCAGACCTGGCCAGACTAACCAGCTCTGTCCTGCATCCTGATCAGCATGCTGGGCTGACTTCTCCCCAAATGTACAGATTCCTGACCCAGCTGGAGGACCTAGTGACCAGCGAGGCCGAGCCTGAGGATGAGGAGGCCTGGGATGTGTCTGAGGGCACGGGTAGAGTGGCCATGGCTGAGCCCCACTGGGAAGGAGCTCCAATCACTAGATCCTCATCCACTGAGTGAGAACAAACTCCTCAACTGGCAACAGATGTTCCAACCAAGGTGTACTGGCAGTGACTGGATTCAGCAGAGGCAGAATCTCACCCCATTCCAATCCTGTCCATCATGTCACACCCAGAACCATGCTAATTCCAATCAGTGGACTAATTTAGTACCACATGCTCTTTTTTTTTTTTTTTGGTACCAGGGATCGAACTCAGGACCGTGTGCTTGTGAGGCAGGTGGTGGCACCACTGAGCTAAATCCCTGGCCCAGTACTACATACTCTTTATCACATACTCTAGATCTGGCCAGCTCTGAAAAGCCCAACCTATTAGTGTATGAAGCTTTGGAGAGACATTGAGATACAAGCTGTAACAGCTGCTCTCTGGAAATTATAATATGCAGAGTACATTGTGTGGACATTACATTAGAAATGTCCCTCTCTGAATATTATCATAACATTATGAATGGTCACACTGTTGATATTACAATGAGAGACAACTGTATGGATGGTATATCAGTATCTTAAGGCAATGTCTGAGTATTATTGTACATGAGTACTGGAGGGCATTGCATGGATACTGTTAGTATCAGAGACCACAGGAGATATATTAGTACTACTAGTTTGTGTGTGGCTATAAAATTAGTATTACAGGCCACACTGTGGACATTAAATGAACACTAAAGGCCTCAGTGTTAATATTATATTAAGATGCTACTGGGAGCCAACATGATGGAATACATCTGCAAAACACTTGAGAGGCTAAGGGAAGAGGACCTGAGTTCTAGGGCACCTAGACTACATAGTAAGATGCTGTCTCAAAAAAATGCTGCTATAGGTCTGGGGATTTAGCTCAGTGGTTCTACCACCTGCCTCACAAGCGCAAGGTCCCGAGTTCAATCCCTGGTACCAAAAAAAAAAAGCTGCTATGTAGATTTTATATTAGCCTGAAAAGTCCCCAGTGTGGATATTATGAGCCACAGAATAAATAGTATATAATTAATAAAGGGCAATGGTGAGGATACTATCATAATATTAGGAGCCAGGATGTGAATAATTTATTCATATGAAGATGCCACTGTGTGAAAGTCTTAGTATTAGAACGCCACAGGGTGATATCATGTTGCTAATACACAGCTACAATGTAGATATTAAATTAGTATTAAGAGCCACAGAGAAAAAAAAAGAGCCACAGAGTAAATGTATTAATTTTGATGCCATTCTGTGTATATTAGTTTTAGATGCTGAAGTGTGGACAGCAATAATAGGCTAATCTGTGGATATTAAATTAGTAGTTGAGGAAGCAGTGTGGATATTAAATTACTATTAGAGGCCACTGTGTGGATATTAATACATACACAAAGGGGCTGTATGTGCATGACTGAGCCATGCTACCCAATGGGACAGCCATGCATGTACCACTGGTGGTTCAAGCCACTTGATGGGACAGTCATGCATGTACCACCAATAGTTCAAGCCAGCAAAAAGTGTTAAATTAGTATTAAAAGTAGTTGTGTAGATTCTAAATTAGTATCACATTCTGCTTTGGAGATATTCAGAGAGTATTAGAGAACATTGTGGAAATAGTATTAGAGGCTGCCTCTGGATATTAAATAAGTATTAGAGAATGCCCTGAGGACATTACATTCATGTTACAGGCACTTTTGGATATAAATTTGTAGTAGAGGCTGTTCTGTGGATATTGAGTATTAGACACCATCCTGTGGGTGCTAAATTAGTGTCACACATCACTGTGTGGATGTTAAAGTAGCATTACGTGCCACTATATGGATATCAGTATTAGAAGCTGTTCTGGATATTAAATTAGTACAGGCCTCTCCAGGGATATTAAATTAGCAATAGACACCACTCTATGAACAGTAGATGTTATATTCTACTCTGCGGATATTAAATAATTATTAGAGGCTGCTGTGCACATATTAACTATTTGAAGCCACTCTGGATATTAGTGTTAAAGGCCACTCTGTGAATATTGGTCCTAGAGGCTGCTCTGTGGATATAAAATTAGTATTAGATGTCATAGTTTGGCTATTAAATAAGTATTAGAAGCCATTCTGTGTATACCAAATTAGTATTAAAGTCCAAACTGTGGATACTGCATTATTATTAGAGGCCATTCTGGGGCTATTACATTAGTATTAGAGGTTGCTCTGAGGATACAAATTTAATATTAGAGACTACTATGGGGATATTAACAGTATTAGATTCTGCTCTGTGGATATTAAATTATATTACAGGCTGTCCTCTTAGGACAATCCTTTCAGCATATCCTCCTGCTGCTGTGGATCTCTAGCCACTGATTATCCTTTCACTGAGATACAATCACCTCCCAGTGTGGTAGCAGAACTTGTTTCCAAAACCACCAGGAGCCACCTGACTCAGAAGTGGTACAGCCTGATGCCATTCCACCTCTGACAGCATATCTTCTGGCTGCTGTGATCTCCAACCAGCTGAGTCTCCATCCACTGAGACAGAACCACCTCCCAAAGTGGCAGCATGCATTTCATCCAAGGAAGAACAGAGAAAGCCATACAAAAGAGGTTGAGCCTGACCCCATTCCACCTCCAAAAGCAAATCTTCCAATGAAGTTGATCTCCACCTACCAGATTTTCTGTACACCAAGATAAATTCACCTCCCTCTGTGATAGTACACCCTCTCTGCAAGGAAATGGAGGAGCCAGATGAGATAATAGATGTCAAGTCACACCCCATTCCACCTCTGGCAGCAAATCCTCTGACTCCTGGGTCTCATTTCTATTTTTTCTCAGTCAGAAGATCCTGTCTAGTTACATCTTATATTGTCCTCTGCTCTATTCTCCTGCTTTCTTGATTTCTCCTCCTCAACTCCTCCTTCCTCCCTCCAGGTACACAGAGATGAAATAAAGATACCCCTTTAGAAGAGCTCATCACTTCCCAATGGATCCCCAGGGGCAAACACATTGGCAGTTAGAGTCAGTAAGGTGGGATTTAGAATGCATGAACACACGTCCCATGTAACTTCCCCAAGAAACTGAGGGGCCTGCTAAGGTGGGGATGGGAAGAGACAAGCAGGTGGAGAGAGGTCAGGGGAGGACTGTGTTCTACAGAACTCATAGCTGCCTTGAGCAGCAAGAGGGTGAGTGAGGAAGGGAGAGAATCCACATGGCCAGTGGAGATTGAAGGATGGCCTAAGGAGACCCAGAGCAAGAGAGCCTTGGTGGAGAGGCCTCAGATGATTTTAACTGGAGTCAACAAATCCAGGAATCAAGCAGGGAGCTGTGCATTGCCCACAGATCCCACAGGCATGAGAGTGTAGGCAGACATGGCATTGTACCACACAAACCAGTGTACACTCAACTGAGTGGCCTTGGCTCAGAGGCTCCATGACCAGGTCAAGGTGAAGATGAGACAGTTGGTGTAGAGTTCAAAGTGTCCATGGGCTTCCAACACCCTTGGCTGCTCTACCCTCCTTCCATGCAACAGAATGTCCTGAAGCTTGACTTCCAATGACAGAGCTCTGAGCAGACAGCTGAAAAAAATGGGATTTGTTGCCCTATAGTAGCCATTCAGGACAAGAAACTATTAATGTTTGCATGGCATGGGTAATGATGAGGAGTGCTGTAAGCAGACCCAACTGTCCCAGACTGAAATGAGAGAACCCACCAGCTGAATGTGACATTTCATCTCTTATCTGAATGTCTGTGATCCTGAAAAGAAATTTTTTCCCTTTGAGGACAAGTGGCTTTGAGACCTAGGATATGAACAGCTTCCCTCACCACCACTCATCCTAAAAAAGTGACAAAATATACTGATATCCCAAGAAGAAGGCCTTTTCCACACAAAAAAAATAAGCTAAAAAATATAGCTGAAAGTGATAAAGCAAGTATGAAGATCTGCATTCTCTCTGTGTCCCCCTGCCTTCCTTAAGATAAACACCCAACAGAGAGATGGTGATGTGAGGAAAATGGGCCACTCGAACACCTTGGAGCTAGCTTTAAATCCTTTTTACCCAAATATATGGCCTCCTTTGGTTTGGTCAGTGACAAGCAGACAAATTTAAGCCTATGAGCCTAAGGGGCTAGTAACACTTTGGGTGACCATGAAGGGACTTTAGTCCCTGCTCCTGACAGCTGTGCATCCCAGCAATCACTTGGGAAAGAGATTGCTTGCTCATGGCTAGCTCAACCTGCTTTTGGGACTTCAGGGACATTCCAGCACCTACCAGGGACACCTTTGAACCCTGAAAATTCTCTTTCCCATCTGCTGCATCAGCTGCATATAAGTGCTTTTGTTGGTTACAAAAAAAAGGTTTCGGGAACTCTGATCTAGTAAACTTAGAAGTTCCAGGTTCCCTCCTATTCGGAACTGATGGGCTCTGCCTGGTTTCCCCCTGGAAGTGCGCTCCAAGGATCTACTCTCTGCAAGTTTGGACCTCTTTTAGGTCATTCAGCAGTGCCAACTGGGTGAGGCAAGGACTTTCACTCTTTGGGGCCACTCAGACCTATTGCAGGTCTTTTTGGTGTGAAGAGATTGGCGTGAGAAGAGAGTCAGAGGTTAAAACAAACAAATAAACAGTTCCAGACATTTGTTTTGGTTTCATTTGGTTTAGAATACTCCTTTGCTTTGGTCTGCTTTGATAGGCTTTTATTTCCTTTTGCGCTTGCACCACTGAGGTAAATCCCCAGCACATTTTTCTCTTCTTATAACCACTTTTATTGTAGGATGAGCAGCAGGGTTTCATTCAGTACCATCTAAAATTATATAAGCCATTTGGGCTTCAAGTCATTCTGAGGTTTCTTTGTGAGCCAATATAGAACTCAAGGTTCTTGAGCCATTTGTCCACAAAAATAACTTTAAACATTTT